ACTTGGACATGAAATTCATATGTTAGAGAGTGACAGAGCAAAGACAAGGATTTGTCCGGTGAGACAACTCTTTCTAAAAATGGAAGTCACTTTGAAGGGCTCCACACCCATCATATAGAGTCTGGCACACTGAGCTGGCCAGTGCTTCAAGTGCACAGAAAATAAACTCTCCTCTGAAGGTAATAACTGCTTTGGGATTTCCATCATCTCCTTTCAGGAAACTATTTTCCACAACTTGTTCGTTCTCCCCAAAGACATCTTAAATGGGTCTGGGTTTTCTCCATGCATCTTCACTTCAGCGCCATGGAATGCTGTGCAATTTTACAAATGAGTCGTATCAAGTCTCTCTGTGTATAAATGGTGATGGAAAAAAAAATAACATAAATTTTAATTGTAACTAGTGATAAAAATCCAGGGATTTGAGGCTTCTCAGGAAATTAAGCAAATACCAAGGTGGACAACAATCCAGAGAGAAAGAGAGAGAGAGGGAGAGAGAGAGAGAAAGGGAGAGAGAGAGAGAGAGAGAGAGAGAGAGGGAGGGTTTTTTTTTGAGAGAGAGAGAGAGGGAGAGAGAGAGAGAGAGAGAGAGAGAGAGAGAGAGAGAGAGAGAGATCTAACTCTAAAGGCATGAAGAACATTCCCATTGTTATCCCCATGCTGGCCTTCCTCGAAGAACCTCTTGGCAACCCCGCTCCCTCCTGCCTCTCTCCCAGGCCTTCCGTCCTCTCCCTAGCCTTTCCCCAACACCCCTCTCCTTTATTCATTCATATAGTCTTTCAGTCAACAATTAGTTTTTGAGTGTCTACTACATGCTTGGCACCATGGCAGCAAAATCTCACAAGACCAACCAGGTCCCTGGCCTGATGGTGCGTAGAGTCTGGGAAACCAGGGAGACATACAATAAACAGTAGCTACATTTTGGAATAAGTGCATAGACAGGATGATATGATAAGGTGATCAGGAAGGAAGGCCTCTTTGAGAGGTGAGTTTTAGGCTAAATATTGGAAGTTTAAGCTAAACCCATCAGGTGACGAGTCAGGGTAAGTGTTCCAGGGAAATGAATCAGCAAGTGCAACGGCCCTGAGGCAGGGAAGAGCTCATTAGGTTTAAAGAACTGGAAGATGGTCACTGTGCATGGAGAGGAGATGAAAGGAGAGACAGAGGCTGAGCTGGGTCATTAGAGCTCTGTAGATTGTAGTGGGGAGAGTGGGTTTTGTTCTAAGAGTAGTGGGAAGCCTTTGGAAGGTTTTAAGCAGATGCCTTGATGATAGTTTGTGCTGCTAGGTAGAGAATGGACTAAGTATGAAGGGAGGCATGGGAAAATGGGGATCCATTTGGAGACTAGCAGTTTTCTAGGGGTTAGAAATAGAGACAGAGGGGCAAACTCATCAGGATGGATGACCAAGAAGTTTAGAGGTCTGGGGGTCCCAGGAGAAGACTTCTGACAGTAGGACAAGAAGAACAGGGTCCCTGTGTTACAGAATAGCAAGAAGCTAAGAAAATTTCAGGACAAGCGGAATAGGGAATAGGGGAACTAAGACAATTAAATATTTTGCAGCCACTTAGTAAATCCAATCTTCCCTAAACCAAGGATACTTAAGAGTAAATGGTTTGCACTTCAGCCCAACCAGAGGGTAAATAGCTTAAATCACCCTACTCAGGGAGACAGATAACAGAAATCCAATTAGTGTCATTTGCCAACCACACAGGACAGACAACAAATTAAAAGAATAAATCTCATTTTGGTACATCAGCATAAAGCTGATGAATGTTCTATTGATTCTCCCCTAAGACCTCCCCTAAGTGCCCAGCCTTTAAAACCCTGCAAATGAAGGTTCCCTGCAGGGAGCACACCCCTGCCCCTTCCCCCACAGGCATGTGTCCCCTAACCTCTAAGGGACCCCATGAGACTTGTAACCAAGGGAACAATGGGCAGCCGGCAGCTCGTCCTGAGTGAACCCCCTAACCCTGTCTCCAAGGCCCCCTTTTCTCTGACTTCCCAGTGAGCCACAGCACCCAGCCCAAGCTCTCCTGTTGCTTCTTCTAGGTCCTTCCTTGTTTTACTGTCCTAAGTACATTTTTGCTGTGGTCAATACATTCTTGTTTGCTTTTCTACATGTTGTCTATTGATTGAAATCTTTCCTTCAAGAAAACAAGAACTGCCCTAACCGGTTTGGCTCAGTGAAAAGAGCGTCGGCCTGAGGACTGAAAGGTCCCAGGTTCGATTCCGGTCAAGGGCATGTACCTTGGTTGCGGGCACATCTCTAGTAGGAGGTGTGCAGGAGGCAGCTGATCGATGTTTCTCTCTCATCGATGCTTCTAACTCTCTATCCCTCTCCCTTCCTCTCTGTAAAATATCAATAAAATATATTTTTTTTAAAAAGAAAACAAGAACTAAGGTCTCCTGGTCTTGCTGGTAACACCTGAATGACGGGGGCCCTGGAGTGTAAGGGAGGAAATGAAACCCAGCACTTCTCCTCCTGGTGGGCTGTTTCCCTTCCAGGGAGTTTCAGCTTCCTGATTCTAGGGCCCTTGTGAGGATGGAATCTGGGGGAAGAAAGTGTGGCACATAGTATTGGGGAGGCTTGCTTTTCCCATTTTGGGGCCTCTGTGGGGGCAGAGCTGGGAATGGAGAGTTTCTGCTCCAGCTCAGAAGCACCTCTGTACTAGCGGGGGATGGAGTGAGCCAGTGGCTCCCCAACCTCGCTCCCTAAGATAGGCACTCTGCTTCCTCCTTCCCACCACAGGCCTCCTGCTAGGTATGAACTCTCTCAGGCGGGGCCATCCCTGCCTCCATCACCCACCCAGGCCTTTGTATGGGGCGTCAGTGGAGTGGACTCTGCTGAATGGAACAGCTCCCTCGTGGTTGAGGGGTTGGGGGGGGGGGCTAGAGATAGGAGCAGAGATCCTTCTATCACAGGGGGTGAGTTATGGATTAGGTCCTGCCACATACCCAGGAAGACCCTGCCCAGAGCAGTGGGAAGAGCAGCCTAGGCCACCCATCTTTCCAGAGTCCCTCTTCCCCACCTACTGCCCTGTACACCAACCACCCAAATATGCCTCCAGGACAAGCCCACAGGCTGCCGTTTTTTCAACACTTACTCTGCTGATGGCTTCACAGGGATCATATCACTCAGTTTTCATACACTATCCTGGGAGAGGCATATTATCCTAATTTTGCAGATGAGCACAGGTCTACACATTTTGGGAAATCCAAGCTGACCCCCAAAGCAGAGTCTAAGACCTTAAACTGCCTCTTCCTGGCAAACTGGGCCTGAAGCAAAACCAGATGGGGGCTTTGTCCCATAGAGCATCCTCCAGAGGTGGCAGGTTAGAGCTCTTGTCAGGGCACATACAAGAAGCAACCCATGAATGCATAAATCAGTGGAACAACAAATCAATGTCTCTTTCTCTCTAAAAATCAATCAATTTAGCCCTAACCGATTTGGCTCAGTGGATAGAGCGTCAGCCTGCGGACTGAAGGGTCCGGGGATCGATTCCAGGCAAGGGCATGTACCCTTGTTTCGGGCACATCCCCAGTAGGGGGTGTGCAGGGGGCAGCTGATCAATGTTTCTCTCTCATTGATGTTTCTAATTCTCTATCCCCCTCCCTTCCTCTCTGTAAAAAAACAATAAAAAATATATTTAAAAAATCAATCAATTTAAAAAACAAAACAAAACAATCCAGATGGGGTCCAAGCCTTACCCAGGCGCGACCACTCTCACAGGGGCCAAGTTGAAGGTGGGGGGAAGGGGTTGGGGGCAGCCTGGGATGGGTTGTGAAGAACGCAAGGAATGTCCCTGGTTGGCCCCCAAGATAGGCGCCCGGCTCCCTCCGTGCCCAGTGCCCACAGGTTCTAGTCTTTAGTAAGGTGTTCAACAAAGAGCAGGTGAAATGTTGGCTCACCGCACCTCTGACGGTCGGTGGGCGCTCAGTGAATGTGGACAAACGGATGCCTCTTGGCCAAATCGTCTCCACCGGCACTGCAACCCTTCATGGCTCTGGGGGCGGTTCTCTGCTCCCGCCACGCTGCTAGTCGCCTAATCGGTCCCTCGCCAGACCCGGCGGAGCGAGGATACGCCCGGGGCGGGGCCGAGGGCTGGGGGGCGGGGCCGGCC